GGGGGTATAAGTGCGTGAAATTGTTGCTATGCTCCCATGGCGCGATACGAGCCGACACCATCCAACACAACGGCATACGCTGCAGCAACGACCACACAAAACAATCTGCAGCCCGCAACCGTTGATGATTGTCATTACGTCGTGGGCGAAGGCAGCAGGCAGCAGGCGTCCACGTCCACCAAAGTGTGACTGCAAACTGCAAGTCGCGCGCCTTGTCATTGAAACACACACACAAGCACACACACACACACACACCCACACCCACACACACATACACACAACAACACACGCACGCGCACACCCACAAACAGACTATATACCGCGCGTCACGCTTTTAGCTTTTATTTATTTGACTCGGTGCGGATAGTTTCCGGCGGGGAAAAGCGCGGCGAAAGGTCGCAGAGGAGCCACAGCTAGCAAGCAATAGCCTGTGCGTAGAGTGTACCACCGAACCGCCGTCGTCGCCGTCACAACGGCAGCGAAGAGCAGAGAGGTCGAGACAGGCCCAATCAGCTCGGGCCGCACGCGTCAACAAGTTATCTCCCCGGCACACCCGCTGCCTAATATTTGCACAAAGATATTTGAATATTTTCGTCTGCAGCGCGCCGGGAAAATCCATACCGCGCACGACGTTATTGTAGGGCGGAGAGGGAGGGTCATATGGGGGTGGAGGGGGGAGGGACTGAGGAGCGGCAGGGAGGACTTTTTGTGAATGAGTCGAGGAGCTTGTTGAAATCCATCCCCTCGGCGCTGCACTGGGCGGGTCGGGGCGGGGGAGGGGCGGGGGAGGGGGGACTGGGCCGCGGCCTTTCGTTCACGGGCCGCGGCGCCGGAACAAAGAAGTGACGCGAGAGAGCGCGGCGCAGAGTCAGAGTGCTGCTGGCGCGGTGTGCCGTGCGGTGTGCCCGCGCGGGCCCGTCGCGCAGGTGACGACGCCGTCGTCAGCACCCTCGCCCAGACAGAGAGGGACTGTTATCGGCGTCCTCGTCTGGGGGGGCGGCCGTCCATGCCCCGGGGCCCGGGGCTGGGATGAACGCGCGGGCGAGATCGACGACGCGTCCCTCTTTTCATTTTTGAGACCGAGTGCAGCAGCGGGCAGCCAGGGCGACGACGACAGCCCTCTCGCTCCCTCGAGCCGGCCGCCCCCCAACGGGAGTCCTCGACGAGGTCCTCGATGAGGTCCTCGAGCACCGCGTCCATGAAAGCGACACCGGCGGGGGAGGGCACCCTTAATGACGCGGGCTCCAGGGCGACGGCGTGGCGAGGTACCCCTTTAAAAATAAAGCGAGTGCAGAGCGAGTGCAAGTTGAGTGCAGAACGAGTGCGTTGGCGAGAGCAGGACGAGTGCCTTGCGAGTGCAGGACGAGTGCCCTGCGAGTGCAGGACGAGTGCGTTACGAGTGCACAGTCGAGTGCATAACGAGTGCGAATCGGGTGCAGAGCGAGGGCGTCCGAGTGCGGAACGAGTGCACCGTGAGTGCAAAGCAAGTGCAAAGGTTTCGGAACACTGTCTGCCCCAGAGGAAGCCTGGTTCCGCGTGGACCCACTTCAAGACTTAGACGCTTCGGAACGTACCGGAAACCCAAGTGTCTGAAAGTCGCACTCTTGTAGATGTGTGAACGCCATTCGCACGCATGAAAGCACATTTGTATGAATTTCAAAGGAAAGTTCACACCTCACACCTTCAAGTGTGCGACATTCACGTACTTGCTTATCCAGTGTTCAGTTCACTTTCATTATTGCTTTTTGTTGTTTTTTTTGTGTGTGTGTTTGTTTGTTTGATAAGTCAGTCTCTGTGCTCCGCGTCCTCGTACTTACCGCTCACGTACCTTCCGGACCGGAAAGGCCGCCAAGAAGGCTGGGAAGGCCCAGAAGAACATCTCCAAGGGAGACAAGAAGAAGAAGCGTAAGAGGAGGGAGTCATACCCCATCTACATCTACAAGGTCCTCAAGCAGGTCCACCCCGACACTGGTACCTCCAGCAAAGCCATGCCCATCATGAACTCATTCGTGAACGACACCTGCGAGAGGATCGCCCCGCCGCCAAGCCGACACTACAACAAGAGGGCGACCATCACCACCTGTCGGGAGATCCAGACCGCTGTCCGTCTCCTTCTGCCCGGTGAATTGGCTCTGACTTAAAAAAATATGACACTCAATATAGAAAACTAATTGCATCTTCCATAATTTTATAATTTATTTAAGTAAGACTTATTGTTTCTATTAGATTTCTTAAAGGCCACACTGGTTTTTACTCTACTTTTTAAAATCTTGCTTCAACAATGTAAAAAGAATAGACGAAGATAGAAGTGTCTTACAATTACAGAGAAGAATTGATACGACTTGCCAAATAAATAATATTTTCTTAGAATTTAGTTTCGATTTATATTATTGAGTTGATAATATTAAAGTTAGGTTCACGTAAACTTGTCTATATTAAAGTAAGTTTATAAACATTAGGTTTAGTGAGAAGGAACCAATACTTCACTCATTGTCACTCAGACTGGTCAGCTACTCTGAGCCGCTGACACTTGCATCTCAATTTAGCTTTATCGGGCTAAAATCTACCCCAGACCTCACTTCGACCTAAACCAAAGCTTTTCTGTGCCAGTTTTTCAATTTGATTCAAACTAGCTAAAGCATAATAAAACTGGGTAAAATAAAGTTATTTTACTTGGAGAAACATAGTAAAAAAAAAGGACTTATTAATTTTCTTTGAAAGCTAGATTAAAGATGCGAGTGTCAGCGGCTTAGAGTAGCTGACCTGTATGAGTGACAATGAGTGACGTATTGGTTCCTTCTCACTAAA